ATGATTAGTTTTACAAAAGCTTTGGCATGATTTTAACAAGTTCATAAACCATATCTATTCCATGGAGTGGTGGCCGAAATATTTATAAGTCAGAACTTTTCTTTACCTAAAGCTAGTTCGATAGCGGTCATATCACTTTAATTCTTGAGTAGACCATTTAGCCCCTGTTTGATGAAAATGATTGGAAAAACCAATGTTTTAAATAGTGAATTTTTGAAAAATGTGTGATTAAAAGGAGAGAAAAAATTTGAATTTATGTACATAATATTTTATTATATGAATGTGTAGTTAAAAATGAGTATATGAAAAAAAGAGTTTTGAAATAATGATTACCAAATAGGTGTTGTGCATCAAATGCTTCGGTCACATTCAGGAGTATAGCTAGCACCTAGCGAGCCACTGCAAACGTCCATGTTGACTCCACTGGAATTTCCCCCCCCTTATATTGGACAGCTGCTCGTGCTCACTTAGATTCATTCGTGCTCACCTGAATTCCTAAATTCGCCACTAATCATATTCACGATATTATCAAAAGAGTATGTACAGACTGTGAACAAACTTTATATCAAGTTGCCCTCCTATCATGTGAATATCAAATTGGCCACATTTGGTGGTATAAATTCATTTATGAGTAAGGTTAATATAATAATACTTTTGTTGCTTTTCTTATGTTAATCTAAGCATCCTATTGCACTGCTTTGCTTGAAAATTGGCCAGTCGATATATATTTAGCTGAATTTGACACTTTAGCCTTGCTTTATGTATTGGCTATATGGGAGGAAATGAGGTCAGTCATTTTTTTGGATCAATATTGTTTATTATTCCGTTTAGAAGAACAACATCTAAACTTATCTTGATCAATTGTAATGCCTTGATTCCTCGAGTGAAGTTGATGAATTCAGTTTTTTGCCACATTGTAGTACTACGTAAACACGTAAATACACTAGAGCATGCCTGCAAGAGTACAAATTATAATCAAAGTTCATCGGACATTATTTTTATTCACAAAGTTCATCGTATATTCTTTTTACTCACATATTTCTTGAGATTCATGACTTTTCACCCATTTATTATCTAAAATTTCACATATTTATTAGGATCCACAACTAAGAAATATTTTAAAGCGATACTAAACCGTCTCTTTCCCTTCCCTCACTTTCTTTTCACTCTAGAAGCTTATTTTGTAAAACTTTTGTTTGTCAAAAAGTTAATCAAACTTCGGTTTTAGCTCTCTTGATTCATCGAGTCCATAACTCTTGATACAATTTAAGTTACATATTTTATAGGATTCACCAACTTTTATCAAAATCATAAGATCGGTGAACAGGTGAAGAGGGCCGGCCAACCACCCCAACCCATCACCTCAGCCCCAACTGGCCAAAAATTTTGTGGCAATAGTGCCAAAAGGCCAAAAACAAACGAACGGAGAAATGGTCAAAACTTTTTGAGTCATCATCACTTCATACGCGCAAACATAAAAGTCAATATCTCAGCGGTCGTCGACCCTCACCCACGCCACGGTACCCAACCTCAAGAATCTCCCTTTTTTTACTTGGGTCCGTCGATTGAGTTACCTCAGTTGGAAAAAAGAAAATGAAAAGCAGAAGAGACCAAGAAAAAAGATGGTGGAAAATTGCCTCCCTTCTTTGACCCGACAATCAACGGTCACAAAACTGATGAAAATATATAGTAATTATTGTTCCTTCTTATAATTCCAGTCCACCCTCAAGTCTCCGCTCTATATCAAGATCGAAGAAGTAGAAGCTTGCGAATACCACCAGTAACTATCCATTTATCTATCTCTTTTTATTGTTAATTTTAATAGATTTTTTTGCCTATATGCTTACATATATCTGTTTATGGTTTCTATTTCGAACAAAAGAGTTTTTTCCTTTCAATTTACTTAAGGTGGCATGAAAGATATGACCCCTTTTGTGGTATCTGAGGTGGGTTTCTTTGATTTCTTTCGGAGTTTTCTTTATTATATAATTGGATTGGGTGAATTTTACCTTGCAGAGGCGCATAATTGAGTTGACTCATGTGGCTTTTTGTTCTTGCTTTCCTAATTTCACGATTTAGTTACTAGGAAATAGTTTACTCTGTGTTCCTATATAGGCTATATCATTCGTCAATATTTGCACCTTTTTCTTTCCTCATAATTAGGTTTTTGATGTTATTGGAAGTGGAAGCTGTACTGTTATATTGACTAAATTCAATTGAATGCTTATGTGTTCTCTTTATCTGATGAAATTCGAGTATTCTTCTAACTCGCAAACTCGATGATTAAGTTGTTGTGAACAATCTGGAAATATGTTGCACCTTAAACTTCCCTTTTCTTGTCTGCACTGTATTTCCCCTAGCGTTGGAGACTTCTGGATATTTCAGCCTCTTAGTGGTACAATAGTCATAGATGAAGTTGTCTTGCATTCGATTGTATCATTTTAAATAATCTCCGTTGATACTTTACATTCATCACTCCACCTAAATGTTTTTTGAATGTTTAATCTTAATTCTGAATTTTGGTTGTGTTGATCTTGAATTTGTTTCAGCAACCAAACTTATGAGGCTTGCTTCTCGGTGATTGGTAAATTTGTTTCCGTGTGTAAAAGCAACACCTTAAGTCGATTGACATATTTCGTTCTTTCTGGGTTATGGCTGCTTTCATCATGATGATGGTCTTCAGTTTTAGAGCTCTCCCTATTCTCGCAATTTTTATTTGGTTACTCTTCAGTAAATCTTTCAGCTATGCCACTAAGAGCGATATCGACTGCCTACAAGCTATAAAATCTTCTTTGAAAGACCCAGACAGTTACTTAACAACATGGAATTTCGAAAATAATAATACTGAAGGGTCCATCTGTAAATTCATTGGGATTGACTGTTGGCATCCGGACGAGAATAGGGTCTTGAATATCAGGCTGGGAGACATGGGACTTAAGGGCACGTTTCCATTAGGTGTTGCTGGTTGTTCGTCCATGACAGGGTTAGATCTTTCTAATAACAAAATCTATGGAAATATTCCAAATAACATCTCTCATATAGTCGGATTTCTGACGAGCCTTGATCTTTCCAACAATGAGTTATCCGGAGAGATTCCTGCAGAACTTTCCAATATCACTTACTTGAATGTCCTCAAACTTAACAACAACAACTTAACAGGTCGAATCCCTGCACAGCTTGGTCAACTTAACAGAATCAAGGAATTTAGTGTGTCAAACAACCGATTGATTGGGCCAGTTCCGATCTTCTCAGGCAATGCTAGTATCACTGCAGAGAGCTATGTCAATAATGCAGGACTGTGTGGAGTTACGTTGACGCCTTGCCAAGGCGCTTCCAAGAAAACCAACATTGGGCCAATTATTGGGGCGGCTGTTGGGGGGTTGACTCTTGCAGCTTTGGGTGTGAGTATTGGCATGTACTTTTATATGCGCAAGTTGGCTAGGAAGAAGAAGGAAGGAGATCCTCTAGGCAACAAATGGGCAAAGAGTATGAAGGGTTCCAAAGGCATCAAGGCAAGATAGACCTAAATTTTCTTGGAATTTCTGCTTTTATACATAGCCTCTGTTTGGTGTAGATAAAAATCAGATTTTTAATAGATATTGATAAAATTTGAGGAAATTTCTAGTTGAAAAGTTGTGGGTTGCATGAAATTTGTGGTTAAAATTAGTTGTCGACTTTGAGGTTAAAATTTGATTTTAATATATACCAAACAGGGGCATGATAATTGTTTAGCTATATAATTTTTTCATCTACATGGTGCTCATAAGAATGGAACCCTTTTAGTATTGCTGCCTGCCGTATAAGATTTTATTTTCTTTTGATTTTTTCTGCAAAAGGAACGAATCACAAATAGTCTTATCTTCTTGTTTCAGCTTTCAATGTTTGAGAAGTCTGTTTCCAAAATGAAACTAAATGATCTTATGAAGGCTACCAATGACTTCAGTAAAGAGAATATAATTGGGTCAGGAAGAACAGGGACAATGTACAAAGCAGCACTTGAAGATGGCACGTCTCTTATGGTGAAGAGATTGCAGGATACTCAACAATCAGAGAAAGAATTTGTGTCCGAGATGGCCACTCTTGGAAATGTAAAGCATCGGAATTTGGTTCCACTTCTAGGCTTTTGCATGACTAAGAAGGAAAGACTCTTAGTCTATAAGCACATGACAAACGGTACCCTCCATGATAAGCTACATGTTGTGAATGATGGCAAGAAACCTTTAGATTGGCCTTTGAGGCTTAAAATTGGGATAAGAGCAGCAAAAGGATTTGCATGGATGCACCACACTTGCAATCCCCGTATTATTCACCGAAACATAAGTTCTAAATGCATCTTACTGGATATGGATTACGAGCCTAAAATTTCCGATTTTGGACTTGCTAGGCTTATGAATCCCGTTGACACTCATCTGAGTACTTTTATAAATGGCGAATTTGGGGACTTGGGTTATGTTGCTCCGGAATATGCAAGAACTCTAGTTGCGACTCCAAAGGGGGATGTCTATAGCTTTGGTGTCGTGCTTCTCGAGTTAGTAACTGGCGAGAAACCGACTTATGTGGCGAAAGCACCTGAAAGCTTTAAAGGAAATCTAGTTGAGTGGATTTCCCAACTCTCTGGTAACTCAAAACTTCAAGATGCAATCGATGAGTTGTTGGTTGGGAAAGGGTATGATAGTGAGCTTTTCCAGTTTCTCAAGGTTGCTTGTACCTGTGTGTTGGCAGCTCCTAAAGAGAGGCCTACCATGTTTGAAGTGTACCAGCTTTTGAGAGCTATTGGACAGCGTTATGATTTCACAACAGAAGATGATGTTTTGGTGTTATCGGATGATGGCAACGCTGATCAACTAGAAGAACTCATCGTTGCTCGCGATTTATAGGAGATGATCAATCAAAGAAAAGTAAAAGGAGATAGAGTGGCGAGTTGAAGCATAGTCCATGTGTAAATTATCTGTTATCGTAATTTGTTTTTCAATAATTTTACTTATCAGTTAGATTACACTATGGTAAATTTAAGATGATGGTTTATGCATAATACTCCAGGTAAATTGCTGACTTAAAATTGTACAGTTTTTTTGCCTTTTTTTTCATACTGAAGAATGTAGGGCGTCTTTTTTTTCTTTTTTCTTTTTATCTTGTCTATCGCGTGTTCTGTTTTTTGTCTAGTATGTATTCGATGAACATTGGTGTTACTTATTCCGATCGTTTTTGACTTATCAGTTAGAATTTTTTTATTTTTTTTTTACAGAGTAGGGTTAGTTAATGCACACCTTTTCACTACTATATAAAAGGGCAATGTTTCATTACTGTAGAAAGAACAGTAGATTCTTCCATTTTCACACACTGTAGCAAGTTTTTTTTTTCCATCTTTGGAGCAAAAACTGCGCCGTCTGCTATTTCATTTTCACACACTGTAGCAAAACTTATATAAAAAGGGCAATGTTTCATTACTGTAGAAAGAACAGTAAATTCTTCCATTTTCATATACTGTAGCAACTTTTTTTTCCATCTCTTGAGTAAAAATGGCTCCGTCTGCTCTTTCATTTTCACACACTAGCAAATTTTTTTTTCATATCTGGAGCAAAAAAGACGTCGTATGAAAAAAAAAAAAAAAATTTAAGCTACAGTGATACACCCACTTGTCCTCAGTTTAAGTGGATCTTTCTTTCTTCTTCTCCATTTTCACACGCTACTGCCTAATTTCTTTTTCTCTCTGAGTTTTATTATGTCCTTTCTTTTCTCCATGTTTGTATACTATTTCTGTTTCTAGTCCTTTTTTACTTTTACATATGGACTAATCTATTTTATACTTTTTTTCAGTTGTTTGCTTGATATCCAATGCTAAGATTTTGGTGTTTTCGAATTGCTTTTTTTCTAACAAGTTAGTTCCTTATTTTCCCACTTATAGTTTTTATTATTTTTTCAAGTTGATTTCTGTGGGGCTTCCAACCTGTTGTGAACTTTTGTGTTTGTGTTCTTCTTTTGGTTGATTGTATATTTTGGGTTTGAATGTTCTTTTCTTTCGTGATTCTGAGGCATCCTAAGATTCGAAATTTTTTTTTGCGATTTCTGTAAAAGTCTTTTCCGTCCGTTGTGCCTGAGCGAAGTTTAGGCTCTATGAAATTTGTTTGTTGTTAATTTATGAGATGATAAATGACGGTTCGAATATATATATATATATATATATATATATATATATATA